ATCAGTTTTTGGGGGTTTTTTAAAGATAATTCTTGTAAGGATTTGGTTAAACCTAAAGAGCACATCAGAGGCATCACTTTAATCGTTTTAGAAGAATAGAACTAAAGTTTTTAGCCTATCTCCTTTCTTGGATAATACATTAAAGTTGATAGGTTCTTTTCTAGAACCCTGCTGGTTTAGTAGTATGTAGCTCCTGATTCTTAGCTGTAGTTTTGGTATATAATTTGGACCTTGCTCGTTGGGTTTTGTTTTGTTTTGTTCTGTTTTGGTTTTTTTTTTTTTAAGACAGGGTCTCCCTGTAGAACCTGGAACTCGATATGTAGACCAGGCTGGGCCTTGAACTTACAGAGATCTGCCTGCCTCTACTTCCTGAGTGCTGGGGCTAAAGGCATGTACCACCACACCCAGCTTCAGTGTTTTGTTGTGTTTTTAATTTATTTTTATGTGTATGGGTGTTTTGCCTGCATGTATGTAAAGCACAATGCCTGCAGAGGCCAGGAGAGAGCATTGGACCCCCCTGGATGGTTGGTAGCTGCCCTGTGGGTTCTGGAACTGAACCAGCCAGTGCTTTTAACTGCTGAGTCATCTTTCCAGCCCCTTTGTTTTTAAGAGGTAAAAGATACATTAAGTTGTATGTAGTAGCAAGTATGAGGGTGCTGTGTGGAATTCACTGATAACCATGCATAGATTCTGCTACCTTCCTGTTATAATCAGAACCGGTTGCTCTCTAGTCGAATGGTGGGAGGAAATTTTCAATTTTTAGTGTGTAACCATGCCAAAATGTAGAATAATAAAAAGACCTGTGCGTTCATCATTCAGCCCTAATCTTAGACCTTTTATTTTTATTACTGGTGCTCACTTCGGCAGCACATGTACTAAAATTGGAATAAGAGAAGATCATCTTGGCCCCTGCCCAACGATGACATGCAGATTTGTGAAGCTTTCTAAACTTTTTAATTTAAGAAAAAATAAAGCTGAAACTTGCTTTGTTGTTCATGCTAGCCCAGAATTCATCCTTCTGTCTCCATCTTCACCTTCTGATTGCTAGGGTTGTAGGTACGTCACAATGCCCAGCAAGCTGGGCTTTAATGTAATTACATTTGCTGGGAAAATGTCCACATTCAGATTTGAGACAAAACTGCAGGGTTTCTGGGAGACCGCTTTTAGGTGGAATCATTGAATCTCCTTATTTTATAGTTCTTTTCATTTTGGAACATGATTACAGGAAATTGGTTATAAGTGGTTTTGTGTTTTATTTTGGAGATGGGGTCTTATTCTTTGTGTGGGGGGGCTCTTTTTGCAACGTGGTCTCCCTGTAGCCCCAGCTGGCCTGGAACTCACAGACATCCGTGTACCTCTGCCTCCTAAGTGCTAGGATTAAAGGTATGTGCCACCCCAGGGTCTTATTCTTTAGCCCAGGCTAGCCCAGAATTCACTATATGCTGGATTGGCACCTTTGAGCTTCTTGTTTTGCATATCTTAAATACAAATTCCAAAACCTAATTATATCAACTACATAACATGTTTTATAACTGTTTTACAAATACTATGTCCCTAGTGATGGCTCATGAAGCAATGGACTATGATCTTCAAGTACAGTTTGATGGTGTTATGGAACAGGCTGTGCCTGCTGAAATCAGCAGCCAAAGGGGCCCACCTCTCCTTCAGCCTGCCCCTACTGAAGTGGTCACCAGCCAAGAAGAACCCCTCCTACAGCCTGCTCCTAGTGAAGTGGTCACCAGCCAAGGGGGACCACTCCATCCACAGCCTGTTCCACCCACATCCATTGAGTTAACAGAGGAAGTGCAGTTCTTAGAAGATAATGTGGACAGCATTGATCCAGGAACTTCAGAAGAGCATAGTCAGGGATCTGATGCCAACAATGCTGTCCAAGCAGGCACATCAGCTTCAATGAACAACTTCATCAGTGGGTTGCAGAGACTTCATAACATGCTAGAAATGCTGAGACCACCACCTTCACACAACAGTGTGGGGCCAGTGAGAGCAAGGAGGAGAACAGGATCCACTTCTCAGAGGTCAAGAGTTGGAGGGTCTCAGAGGCCAGACGGTGCCAGGTAAATATAAGTGATTGATGATGATGCTGCTTTGTGAATTATGAAGCCCAGAGTCTGGTCATACACACAGTGCTACCAAAGTAACTTTTTGGAACCCTCATTTCCTCATAAGTCAGAAACAAATGCGCTTGCCCTGTTTTTTACTTCACTAAGTAATGTGCATATATTACATAACTACAATGTGCTTTGAAAACTAGGGGCAAGTTTGTCAGCACGTTTCTATTGAGGATTGGCTCTGTTTACTTTTTAAATTTATTTTTATGTGTATGAGTGTTTTGCCTAGGTGTTACGTATGTGCACCACATGCAGTGCCCATGGAAGCCATAAGAGAGCATCAGATCCCCTGGAACTCGAGTTAGAGATGGCTGTAGCTACCATGAGAGTGCTGGAACTGAACTGGAGTCCCTACAAGAGCAGCCAGTGCTCTTAACCACTGTGCTGTTTCTCTAGCTTCCCTTTTTATTATTTTATTATTTATTTTCAGTATACATGGTTGTTTTGCCTTTTTGTCTCACCATGTGCATGCAATGTCCAAAGAAGAGGGTGTCAGACCCTTGGAACTGGAACTAAATACTTTGTTAGCCTCTGGGCATATAGGCAGCCCTGTAGGTGTGGAAGCCCAAGATTGATGTCACTATCCTTCCTCATTGTTCTCCACTTAATTTTTGAGGCATGGTCTCTCAGTTGGATCTAAAACTCTCCCATAGGACTAATCTAGCTTGCTAGCTTGCTCTGGAGATCCTTCTGAGTGCTGGATTTACAGGTGGCTGCCTACCCCACATTTACATGTTCTGGGGCTCTAAACTTTGGTCCCTCTGTCTGTCTCCCCACTTTTTTGTTTGGAGACAGGGTCTCCCTTGTAACCCCAGTTGGCCTAGGACTTGCTACGAAGACCAGACTGACCTCGATCCCAAAGATCCACATGCCTCTGCCTTCTGAGTGTTGGGATTAAAGGCATGAGCCCCCATGACTGGCTTCCCTGCCCCGCCCCCCTTTTGGGGTCTTTTTGAGACAGGGTCTCCCTGTGGCCCCAGCTGTCCTAGAACTCACTATGTAGACCAGACTGGCCTTGAACTCACAGAGATTGGCCTGCCTTTGCTTCAGGAGTGCTGCAATTAAAGGCGTTGTGCCACCACACCTGACCCCTGGCCCCTTTTTTAAATGTGTAGAGACTCACAACCCAGAGCCTCGTATGTATAAGTATGTGTTCTACTGATGAACTTTTCCATAGTTTTAGTTTGCACTTGCCATTTTAAGGACTTACCTGTCAAAGAGGATAGGGTTTAGCTGTCAGAGCCTCACAGGGCTATATGAAAAATAATGATGTCCTTTAATTCCTTATTTTATTTAAAATACCTTTTACTTAAACTGGGCATCGTGGTGCACACCTTTAATCCCAGCACTAGGGAGGCAGAGGCAGAGGCAGGCGGATCTCTGAGTTCAAGGCCAGCCTGGTCTATATAGTGAGTTCCAGGCCAGCTGGGGTTATAGGGAGACCCTGTCTCAAAAAGACCAAAAATAATAATAATAAAATACCTTTCACTTGTGACCTTATATATGTTTCCATGATGTTTAAGATTGAGTTAAACCTTATCATTTTATTTGCATAGGAAATTTGAATGGTAAGAGAGTACTTGTTCAGGGTATCATAGCTACAGCCCGAAGGAGTTAGCCCCTATTGAACCTTAAATCTGACTTGTTTTCTATACAGGCAGATGGAATAAGTTTCACTCAGATCCATTTATTTTCTATCACTAAAAATATTTTAAGATTTGGGACTAGAGAGATGGGTCAACAGTTAAGAACACTGACTGTTCATGTAGAGGACCTGGTTTCACTTCCCAGCACCCACATAGAGGCTAACAACCATTTGTAACTCCAGTTCCAGGGGATCGATCCAACACACTCTTCTGACCTCCTGGGCATTGCATAACACAGGTGCACTTATATACATGCAGGCAATTCATTCATATACACAAAAATAATTATAAGTAAAAAAAAAAAAAATTTAAGTATTGAGGTCATCTGTTACCTGTATTACAAATGAAGCCAATGTGATTTACCTAGGTAACTCAGAAACTGGACTTGTGCTTGCTTCTTTCTATGTTTCTTCTCTCTTATTTTGAACAAGATTTCATTCTGTGGCCAAACCTGGCCTGAAATTCTGCTATGGTAGCCTAGCCTGGCTTCAAACTTGAGGGAATCCTCCTTCCTCAGCCCCACCAAATGCTAAGACTACTAGCCATGCCTAGCTCTGATCCTTGATTTGGCATCTTTACTGTGAATGCAACAGATTATTGTCTTACAGCTTCCTATTACTGGGATTCTAACCTTGAGTTGCACATATGCATTAACTTTGTCATTTTAAGCTGTCATTCCTCAGATAATGAAGACATTTCAAACATTTATGTCATGTAAAAACACCTTGTAGTGTAGCTTCAGGACCCTGTAAAAATGATTTAAGTTGGTTACCTTTCCAAGGCTGAGAATTGAGAGTATTGTCCCCAAAATATTGCTGGGGTGAGGGAGAGGATCCTCCAGAGTTCAGTATTCTTGGTGAGACACACTTACCTTTTTTTTTTTTTAAATGTGTATGAGTGTATTGCATGCATGTGTGTGAGTGCACCTGTGTCATGGAATGCCGCTGAGGTCAGAAGAGGGCTTTGGATTTCCCCTGGAACTGGAGTTAAGGACGGTTCATAGCCACTGTGTGGATGCTGGGAATTGAACCTGAATCCTCTGCAAGAACAGTCAGTGCTCTTACCGCTAAGCTATCTCTTTGGTCCCAAGACACACTTACCTTTATTAACCAACTTACCAGAGGGTAACTTTTATAAACCAGATACAATTTACAGAGAGAAATTAACCCACCGAAGACCAAATTCTCATTTGCATTGTCATCCTGGTAATACCCAGAAGATTGCTTGGTCTATATTGAATCTGTAATCAGGGAGTGGGTTATGAAATTTAGATGTTGAGAGATGTCAGCCAAGCCATTTGGCTGATGTCCATATACTTTTCTCTGCAAAGGAAGCAAACCTAGAAGGCCAAGGTTGTACATTTCAGTGGAAAGAATGGATTCTGGAAAAAGATGTGATACTAAAACATTTTTCTCTAATATTGCATTATAAGCAAATTGTATACTAAATTCATGTAATAGTAGGAGTTTGCCTACAACTCATTGCTTCTGACTTCTGAATTTTTTTTGTTTGTTGGAGACTTTTTTTTTTTTTTGGTCTTTTTGAGACAGGGTCTCCCTCTAGCCCCAGCTGTCCTGGAACTCACTATGTAGACCAGGCTGGCCTTGAACTCACAGAGATCCGCCTGCCTCTGCCTCCTGAGTGCTGGGATTAAAGGCGTGCGCCACCACGCCCGGCCCTGTTGGAGACATTTTAAAATTGCATTTACTTGTGTATCTGTGTGTGTATGTTGGCACACACATGCCATAGCTCACATGCGTGGGTCAGAGAACAACTTACTGGAGTTGGTTCTCTCCTACCATGTAGATCCTGAAGTCAAGCTCAGTCAACACACTTCTTCAGCAAGTGCCTTTTCCTGCTGAACCATCTTGCCAACCAGGAGTGAAGCTCTTTGGTTGGTTGGTTTTGTTTGTTGGTTTTATGAGGTAAGATCTTACTATATAGCCCAGACTGGCCGAGAACTTGTCATCCTGTTTCTACTTCTTGAATGTTGGAATTATAAGTGGTGCCACCATGCTGGCTTCTGATTTTCTGGAATTCCGATGGATTTCTCACCATAGCATTTGCCATTTACTTACGTGACAAGTTCCCTGGGACCAAGTAGAGCATCATTTGCCTTAGACGTAGCCCAGAAGCCCAAGTGAGCTATTCTTCCCAACAAGCCTCTGAGCCAAGGTCACAAACTCCTTTCCTTTCTCTTGGTTTAAGGTTGCTTGATTTTAGTTGCCAGAGTCATCACCAAATGTTTGCAACTCTAGTATGTGAACTGATCTTTGTCCTGGAAAATACATTGCTGACAGGATAGATTAGAGTATTCTTGAAGCTTAGGAAGTCTATTATGAAAGATAAAGAAGAGGCAAATGTATTAGTTAATTCAGAGCAGTTAAAGAGAAGGATTTCTTTGGTTTTAAGGAACTGCTAACCAAGGGACTGGGAATGTATCCTAGTTTGTAGTTTTTTCCTGCCATGCACACGCTTGGGTTTGATTCCCAGCAACACATAAACTAGAAATGCACAGCTATAGTACCAGCACTTGGGAGGTGGAAGCAGGAGGATCAGATATTCAAGATCATCTTTAGCTACATAGCAAGTAGAAAGCCACCCAGGGCTGATGAGGCCCTGTCTTGAAAAGAAAAGAAAAGAAAAGAAAAGAAAAGAAAAAGAAACTCCTGGTACCTGTCCCATGTCTGTCTTTGTGTTTCCCTCTCTGACCTTAGGAATGCTTATTTTTGTATGTAAACATAATCTTTTACTGCTTTCTATGCAGTAAAAGGTCAGTTTTCTAAATTTATGTCTATAAAGGTCACTTGTCTAAATTTAGCCCATTAGCCTTTTTATATATTCTGTTTAATTGAAATGTTCTTATGAAATGCTTTGGAGTTAAGGTGGGATTGGGGATCCAACTTGGGAGATCTGGGCCTGATACATGTTAGGCAAATGTTTTACCACTGAGCTATATCCCTATCCCTACTTAGCATATTTTTTTAAATATTTTATTTATTTTTATGTGTATACGTGTATTGCCTGTATATAGGTAAGTGCACCTGTGTCGTGCAATGCCCGTGGAGGACAGAAGAGACTGTTGGATCCCCTGGAACTAGAGTTATGGACAGTTTTTAGCTGCCATGTGGTTATTGGGATTCAAGCTCAAGTCTTCTGCAAGAACAGTCAGCGTTCTTAACTGCTGAGCCATCTCTCCAGTCCCGAGCATCCTTTTTAAAAAAAATCTGAGGCTGGAGAGATGGCTCAGCGATTAAGAACACTGACTGCTCTTGCAGAGGACCTGGGTTCAGTTCCCAGCACGCACATGGTAGCTAACAGCCATCTGTAACTCCAGTTCCAGGGCATCCAGTGTCTTATTCTGACCTCCGAGGGCACTGCAGGACACAGGTGCACTTATGTACATGCAGGCATAACACTCAGATACATACATACATATGTATAAATATAAATAAGAAAGAAAACCTTGGTCAGCCTTGGTGTTACACAAATTTAATCTCACCGTTGGCAAGGCAGAGGCAGGTGGATCTCTTGAGAATTGAAGGCTAGCCTGGTCAAAGACCCAGTCTGAAAAGAAAGCCTAGGTGATACCAACAAAAAATGGCAAAGTAAGGACTGCAGAAAATTCTCTCTTTAGAGCTGTGAAGGAACTGTCAAAATTTGAATTAGCATTTCATATCTGTGGGAATTAATCAGATGGCTTTAGTAATCCAGTAAAGAAAAGGAACTGAAGCCCAGTGAGTTTGTTGTGTTCCCTGTTCTCATCCTCTTTAGATGCATGGTAGCCTTGAAAATAGACTGCTTGATAGGCGCTACAGGGAGCTGAGTAGCTTCAAAGCCTATTCCCAGATAATTATCTTTATGTGGTCTGTTTGGTGGTTGGTTCCCTAGAAGACCCCATGATTGAATGAGAGTATGTTTAGCCAGCATTTGCTTAAATCTGTTTTTCATTCAACTTTCAAAGGAAGCATTTAATGGCCTGGAAATGGGTTGAAATGGCTAGGAATTCCCTTCATGTCATCATAGGTTAGTCTTGTGATAATGGTCCATTACACTGTGATTCTTTTGTCTTTCTGCATACATGCAGGTTGCGAACACCAGTGTATGCCTACTTCCAGGTGAGCAGGTCTCAGCCTTACGTGCCAGGCACTGCTTATGATTCAGAGACCAGGAGTCCTCTGTCAGATACTGATTCTGACAGCAACAGCTCTGCGGATCCAGAGAATGTTGAGGCAGCAGAACCTGAGGCTGTTGCTTCAGGTCAGTATTTTATCCAGGTTTGGGTTCACAAAGTTCACATTCACAGATTTAGGCTTTAGAAGGCTAGAATTTTGATTTATGCTTTGATAATTTATTTTTCCCAATTGCCATTCCTACTTTGTAATGAGCTTAATTGGAGTGATGATATTGAAAAATTTAGATGTGGCTCATAGTTTTATGTGACTTATGTTCCAGTGAGTCATTCCTTCATAATGGCATTTTGCATTCCCCTTCAGTTTCTTACTTTCTGAGAAAGTAGATTGTGTATTTAGAAGTTTTGTGTGCCTGGATTGGTGACATATTTGCCTATAATCCCATCATATTTTGGAGGCTGCTACAGGAGGATTGTGAATTCAGGTCTAGAATGGACCATATTGTGAGACTGTCTCTCAAAAGAGTTTTTGCCTGGCATGGTGGTTTCATGCCTTTAATCCCAGCACTCAGGGAGGCAGATAGTGAGTTCCAGGCCAGCTGTGGCTGCAGGGAGACCCTATCTCAAAAAAGAGTTTTATAAATTCATTCAATAGTTTGTCTGAGGTGTGACTTTCAAGTCTTAGTATAGTGTTAAATATTTTATAAATGGAATTTTAGCAGGAGGTGAACAGAGACCCCATAAGCTAGATGCCTTGCCTACATCAAAAACCCACTAATACCCAGATAGTCTTTTGATAACTTTGAAAGAAACTTCAGCTGTTTTCAGGAGTCGCCTTCCAGGTCTAAGATAGGAAACACACAGAATGAACCTAGAACATTTTATTGTGCTAGAATAGCAAAGGAGCCCTCTGAGTCTAATAGAGTTAAGTCGGTAAGCAGAGGCACCACCTTGAAAGCACTGCTGGTGTGGTGTGGATATCCTGGGGGTGTACCTATCTTCTTAGCATGTGGAAGGCTGAAGCAGGAAGAGCTCCAGTTCAAGGCCAGGCTGGGCTACAGAGTGAGACCCTGTCTAAAAATAAAAGATAGGAGGCACCACTGCTTATGGGCCAGGCTACAGATGTGTAGCTTTCTATCTGTTTCTAAGCATACTTTCTCTAACATTTTGGGCTGCCCCAACATTGGGGGTTTTTGTTTGTTTTTTTAGTTATTCTTTAAAACTTTCCACCATGGAGTTGCAAGTCCACGATGTGTCTGACTGTCATGTTGGCTCTAAACTGGCATGACTTTAGGGCTTTTTTCCTTCTCCCCTACATTCTCAGGGCACCGGCTGAGATTTACAGCTTGCTTGCCCAGAGGAGGATTTTTCTTTAAATTCTAATAAAGCTGTCCTAAACCTTCAAACAAAATAAAAGGTAGCGCCACAATGGACTGAGATAAGCATAATTTAAGCACCAAAAATGGAGCCAGGAATGGTGGCATGCATCTGTAATCTCAACACTTGAGTGAGGCTTGAGGCAACGGGATCAAGAGTTCTAGGCCAGTGAGACACACACAACAGAATAAGCAAGAGTATGTTATTCTTGTATTAAAGGTTAAAATAACATCAAATCCTTGACAGTCCATAGGTACAGAACTGTGATCTTCTTTTTAACATTTTTATTTTATGTGTATTAGTGTATTGCTTGCATGTATGTAAGTTCACTTGTGTCATGCAATGCCCATGGAGATCAGAAGGCAGCGTTGAATCCCCTGGAACTGGAGTTAATGCCAGTTGTTAGCCGCCATATGGTTGGTGGGACTCAAACCCAGGTCCTCTGCAAAGAACAGCCAATGCTCTTAACCTCAGAGCCATTGCTCCAGACCCCCTCCCCCTTTTTTTAAACTTCATCTGAATGTGTACTGGACAGTGTGAACTGAAAACCAGGATCCCAGAGCTAAGCAGGAAGCAATTTATTGTTGGACCAATACCATAACCCAAAGAGAGATTATTTTTCTAAAGCAGGGCCCCAAACAAGAAGATTTTATATCCCATGTACAGTTCAGTTTCTTTTTCTCCCATAATATGATAACACACATACCTTGATTGGGTGCTCTCTGCCACAAGGTCATGACTGGCAGAACTGTGTACTTGCACTCAGGCACAAACCATGTTCTTTTTTTCTAAGGAGTTCCTACCACATTACTATAAGTTGTAAGAATCTCAGTTCATTTCTCTGAAAACGGTAACTGAAGAGTCAAGCAGCTGGGTTGTGGTATGGACCTGTAAGTACAACAATTAGGAGGCAGAGTCGGGAGGATTGAAGCCAGCCCAGTCAACAAGTCAGTGGCAAGAAGGAAAAAGAACATGAGTGAGGGCAAATTTTGTAAAAAGAAAAGAAAGCCAGGCATGGTGGTACACACCCTTGCCCAGCACTTAGGAGGCAGAGGCAGGCAGATCTCTGAGATTGTGGCCAGCCTGGTCTACATAGCAAGTTCCAGGCCAGCTAGAGCTACAGGGAGACCTTTTCTCAAAAAACATAAAAGACATGAATCCACTGTAAAGAACAGTTAAAACTGTTGGGAAATTTTGAATAGGAACTAGATCATCTAGTATTAAATATTAAAGAATTTGTTACTGGGGGCTGGAGAGATGGCTCAGCAGTTAAGAACACTGATTGTTCTTGCAGAAGACCCGGGTTTGAATCCCAGCACCCACATGGCAGCTAACAACTGTCTGTAACTCCAGTCCCAGAGGATCTAACAGCCTCTTCTGACCCCCGAAGGCATTGCATGACATGGGTGCACTTACCTACATGCATACACATAAAAAATAATAAATAAAAAAATTTAAAAAAAGAATTGTTACTAATTTTACAAGGTGTATTAATGATGATGTGTATGTGAAAAAAAAATCCTCACTGGTATTGCAAAGGATTTTATAAGTTTATTGGCATTTTAGTTATTTGTCATATACTCCAACATACACAGATCAGTGGATTGGGTTTGACAGAATTGATTTTTTTTTTTTTTTTTTTTTTTTTGGTCTTTTTGAGACAGGGTCTCCCTGTAGCCTGAACTCACTGTGTAGACCAGGTTGGCCTTGAACTCAAAGAGAATCTGCCTGCCTCTGTCTCCCGAGTGCTGAGATTAAAGGCGTGCGCCACCACACCTGGCAGAATTGATTTGTTTTTAAATTAAGTGATGAATACTTGTGGGTGTCTATACTTCTGTGTCTACTTTTGGAATATCCAATATAAGTAAATAAAAAGGAATAAACTCATTGGTGCTATGTGCTGGAATTGTCTTCCCTTTTGCAGGAACACTGCCCATTAGCAGTAGACAGTTGCAGCTGCTCATACCTAACTTGTGTCTTCTCTTGTATACTGTCTATGTATCATTTCTGGATATAACCTGGCAGAACAACAAGAAGCTTCGTCACCAGAGCAAGAAGTTGCATGTGTCAGTGAAGGTGGTACCATCCCTGAACAGGTAATGTGAACATTCATTGCTTCATTCATTTGTCTTTGAAATGGAATCTTTCCTGATACGAGCCTGGCTTTTAACTTGGGATCCTCCTGCCTCAGCCTATTAAGTACTAGGATTGCAAGCATATGCTACCATATTCAGTTTGATAACCACCCCCCAACATGTTCACACTGTGCCATCCTCCCCAGGTAGGGATAAGACCCAGGGCCTAGCTACTGACCTAATCCTCAGACCCTGAATATCCCTTTTTCTTTTTTTTTTTTTTGGTCTTTCTGAGACAGGGTCTCCCTGTAGCTCCAGCTGTCCTGGATTCACTATAGAGAACAGGCCAGCCTTGAACTCACAAAGATCCACCAGCCTCTGCCTTCCAAGTGCTGGGATTAAAGGCATGCGCCACCACGCCTAGCTTGTACTTTTATTTTTGAAATGGGGCCTCAATATGTAGCTTCTGGCTGGCCTGGAACTCTCAGAAATCCACCTGCTTCTGCCTCTTGAGGTCTGGGATTAAAGTATGCACCATAATGCTCAGCTTTTTATATATATATAAATAAAATATGTATGTATGAATATATTGCCTGCATTTTGGAGACTGGTAGGATCACAAGTTTGAGGAGCCTGGACTGTTTAGTGTGACTCGTATCAAAAAATACATTTTTTGAATCTTTTGTTTTGTGGTAGTGGTGGTGGTGGTTGCAGTGTTAAACTGATGGCCTTTGGTATGCTAAGTAAATGCTTTGCCACTCTTGTAACTCCAGGCTTTGGATTTTTGAGACAGTATTTTACTTGTTTATTTTGTTTCTTTTGGGGTTTTGTTCATTTACTTTGTTTGGGTTTTGTGTGTGTGTGTGCTTATTTTGGAGAAAGGGTCTTGCTATGTAGCACTGGCTACTCTGGACATCATCCACATGGCAATTAACAGCCGTCTATAACTCCAGTTGCAGGGCATCCAACACCTACTTCTGATCTTCATGGGCATTGTATGGCACAGGACCAGGCAATACACTCATAACACATAAAATAATAAAGTGGTATAGTTTTTTGTGTTTTTCGTTTTGTCTTTTGTTCTGGTTTTTGGGGGGGGTTGTTGGAGGGGGTTGTTAGGGGGTTTTTTTGGTCTTTTCTATACAGGGTTTCCCTGTAATCCCAGCTGGCCTGGAACTTGGCTATGTAGACCATGCTGACCTGGAACTCAACAGAGATCCACCCGCCTCTGCCTCCCAAGTACTGGGATTAAAGGTATGCGCCACTGTGCCTGGCACTAAAGTTTTTTCAAGATTCAGAAAACAGACTATGTCCTGGAGGATGAAGAAGTACAATGCCAGAATATAGACAGAAACTAAGAAATTAAAATTCTCTGTGATATGCAAAAAATGAAACAACCAGTATAATCATAAGCAGTTTCCTCTAGTAATAAATTCTTTTCCTTTTTGTATTCAAAATTTTGTGATTGAATTTTTTTGTATTTCATACAGAACATCCCAATCAATCTTAATCATCTTTACAAACCCCTTCCCCACTGGCACCCTCCATTAGTCCCCCTACTAGAATTCATACATTCTGTCATTTGTCTTAAGGCCTATTGTGTCACGTTAGTGTTCCCAGATATCCCTCCATACAAGTTTATCTACTGTGATCTAGTCACCCTATCTAGAGTCTCAAAGGAAGATCAGTTCTTCACCCAGTAATAAGTTGCCCATATTTCTTCAGCTAAGATTGGGGTCAGCCAGGCAGATGTGGGTTCCAGGCCAGCTGGGGTTACATACTAACCACCCTGTCTCAAAAGACCAAAAAAAAAAAAAAAGGGATTTGTTTGTTTTATGTTATATATGTATTTTACCTGCATGTATATAAGTATATCATCTTCATGCAGTGACCTCAGGCCCAAAAAGAGTTGCATCCCCTGGAACTGGACTTAGGAGACAGTTATCAGCCTCCATGTAGGTGCTAGAACCCATCCTGGATCCTCTGAAAGAGCAGGAAGTGCTCTTAGATCACTGAGCCATCTCTCTCTAGCCCTTTATTATTGTTTGTTTTACATGTATGTGTGTTTTACCGGATGTATGTAAGTACACCATGTGCATGCAGTGCCTCCAGAGGTCAGAAGAGGGCATCACATCTCCTGGAACTGGAGTTGCAGGTGGTTACGCTGTCATATGGGTACTAGGAACTGAAACCAGGGCTGCAAGAGCAGTTAATAACTACTGAGCCAGCTCTCCAGCCCTGGGTTGGGTGGTTGGTTTGCTTTTGAGACTGGCTCTTGCCATATGTAGCCTAGGATGGCCTTAAATTCTCATTGCCTCCTGAATGCTGAGATTGCAGTGTAGCTCCACCATGCCCAGCAGATCTTGTTCTTGTAGCTGTACTGTTTCCCATCATAGGAATTCATTTTTAGTTAACTCCCTGATATGTCCATTGTCACCCTGGGTTTTTGCTGCTGTTGTCGTTTTGGTTTTATTTTTCTGATATAAGTCATACTTTAAGCATGTCCTTTTACAGTTGTTTTAACAAATGCTTTGATTATATTCATGGCATATATGTGTAGCGGAAAAAGATGTTTTTTTTTGTTTGTTCGTTTTTTGTTTTGGTCTTTTTGAGACAGGGTCTCCCTGTAGCTCCAGCTGTCCTGGAACTCACTATGTAGACCAGGCTGGCCTTGAACTCACAGGGATCCGCCTGGCTCTTACATTTTAATTTTGATAGATTTAAATTGCTTTCAGAAATTTATTCAACTTCATACTTAATCCCAGTGGTATCTTAGTATCTAATCATGTGTTGTTCTTTTCTGTTTTGGACAGTCTTACTCTGTACCCCTGGCTGTTCTGATACTCACTGTGTAGCCCTAGGTAGCCTTGAACTTATAACAGTGCTCCTGTTTTGGCCTCCCAAGTTCTAAAATTATAGGCATGTAGACCCAAGCCTAGCATCTTTTTCTCTCACCACCAAGAGTCTTTACTTCTTACCTAAGCTTGGGGGTGAGGATCTTGTCAGTTTCAGAGACTTGCTGAAGTTTTGGAGATGTTTACTTCTTGAGTCTTACCTGCTGCATGGAATGTTTACCCTCTCTTTAGAACAGCCTGTGTCTTAACAGATGCCCTTGTAGGATGGAGTATTTCATTTCTCTTTAGTACTTCCCTGCAGAATAGACTGTTTTATATGGGAGGAAATTGCTACACAAGTGTTAGAATTTTTTTGCAACTTTTCTATTATGTTCTGATCACTTTGATGCATTTTTATTTGGTAGTTGCACACTCTTTTCAAGGCTGATTTTGCATTTTCTGACTTGAATGCATTCCAACTTTTATTCAACAGTCTACTCAGAAGCCTGACATTCTACCTTCTGTAGATGATGAAGAAGGGGAAATTTGCACAATATGCTTGGAACAGTGGACCAGTGCTGGGGACCATCGACCTTCAGCTTTACGCTGTGGACACATCTTTGGATATAAATGCATTTCACAGTGGCTCAAAGGACAAGTACGAAAATGTCCTCAGGTAAGGACCATAAGTAAGGGCTCAACATACTAAGTCCAAACTCCTAGAACCAACACTGATTGTGTCTCATTGGACCCTTTAGTGCAACAAGAAAGCCAAGCACAGCGACATTGTTGTCCTTTATACCCGAACCCTGAAAGCTGTGGACACTTGTGAACAAGAGCGCATAAAAAGGTAGGTGAAATTGTTTAACAGGTCAAGGCATTTGCTACTAAGCCTGTTGACCTGAGCTCTATCCTGAGACCTACATGGTGGAAGGAGAGAACTGACTCCCACAAGTTACGTTCTCACCTTATACACGTGCTAGCACATGAGTATTTGCACACACCGTAAATGTAATAAGCTGGGCGTGGTGGCGCACGCCTTTATAATCCCAGCACTCGGGAGGCAGAGGCAGGCAGATCTTTGTAAATTCAAGGCCAGACTGGTCTACATAGTGAGTTCCAGGACAGCCGGGGCTACAGGGAGACCCTGTCTCAAAAAGACCAAAATAAATAAATAAATGTAATAAAAGAAAAAAGGTACATGAAAATCTGTCTGTCTAGAAAGAATCCCTTTGGTTTTTTTAGGTACATCTGATAAGGAAGTATGAATCTACTTTTGCTGTGTATAGGGTTTTGCTTACTTATGATTTGGGATCTCTGAAGATCACTGACATTTATTTCATAATATTACACAATATGTAAGGCCAGGAGTAGTGACTCACGCTTTAATTCCAGCACTCCAGAAGCAGGGCCATGAGGATTTTTCTGAGTTTGAAACTAGCCTAGTCTGTGTAGGCTAAATCAGCCACATCTATATAGAGAGACAGACCCTGTCTTTAAGTATGAGTGCTGGGATTAAAGATGTGTGCTATCGGGCTGGAGAGCTGGCTCAGTGGTTAAGAACACTGTTCTTACAGAAGACCCAGGTTCGAATCCCAGCACCCATATGGCAGCTAACAACTGTCCATAACTCCAGTTCCAAAGGTTCCGACAGCCTCTTCTGTCCTCTGTGGGCATTGCATGACACATGTGCACTTACCTACATGCAGGCAATGCACACATATACATAAAATGAAAATAAATAATTTTTTTTTTTTTTTTGGTCTTTTTGAGACAGGGTCTCCCTGTAGCCCTAGCTGGCCTGGAACTCACAGAGATCCGCCTGCCTCTGCCTCCTAGGTGGTGGGACTACAGGTGTGCGCCACCATGCCTAACTAAAATAAATAAAATATTTTTAAAAAAATAAAGATGTGTGCCATCATGCCCAGCCACATTGTTTAAACATTACTAATTCTTTAATCACATCCCTCTACTCCTTCCAGATTCACCCTCACCTCCCTAACCCTCAGCAACCTAGTATCTTTTTTTATAAAAATAAAAATAAATAGCTCATGGTGTCCAATTTGTGCTGCCTTTGTACTCTTTAGTGTGGTCATCTACTGGAATGTGGTGACCTACCAAAGGCCACACCCTTAAAGAAAACTGGCTTTCCCTCCCCTCAAGGAGTGGGGGATCCTGAGCTCCTCCCTCCATGTCAGGATGTTGACTGGTTGGATGTTATGCAGGCAGCCATAGCTGCCATGAGTGTGGAGATCCTGTCACTGCAGAAGACACTGTTGTGGGTTCATTCCCCTTCCATGAGTGTGGGGATCCTGTCATGCAGAAGACACTGTTGTGGGTTCAGTCCTCCCCAACTTCTTGATTCTTTCCACCCCATCTTCTGCAGTAGTCCCTGAACCTTGGGGAGGGGATATGATACAATATTCTGTTTGTGGCTGAGCACACCACTAACACTCTCTACTTTTGACCAGTTGAGTTTCTGCTTTTACACCATCCACTTCGCTAAGAAACTTTTTATTTATTTATTTTAATATTTTATTTATTATTTTTATTTTATGTGTATGAGTGTACTGCCTGCATTTATGTGAGTGCACCCGTGTCGTGCAATGCCGCAGAGGTCAGAAGAGAGCTTCAGATTTCCCTGGAATTAGAGTTAAGGACGGTTTGTAGCCACCATATGGGTGCTGGGAATTGAACCTGGGTCCTCTGTAAGAGCAGTCAGTGCTTTCAACTGCTAAGCCATCTCTCCAGCCCCGAAATTTTTCTAATAAGGTCTAGCAGCTGTAGTAATCTATGGTTATAGAGAGGCACTTTTTAAAGACTCTCTGTAGCCCTGGCTAGCCTAGAACTTGCTGTGTAGACCTGGTAGACCCCTACTGGCTCACAGAGATCCTCTTCTTCCTCCTGAGGGCTGGGAATTAAAGGCATGCACCACCACACCGGCCCTAAGAGAGGCACATTTCTTTGGGGGGGGGGGGTCCTATGACCCCAGCTGGCCTGGAACTCGCTATGTAAACCAGACTAGCCACCCTCTGCTTTCCAAGTTCTGGGGTTAAAGGCATGTGTCACTGAGCTTCCTTACAGTAGCTCTCTGCACAGAAGATTCACAAGTGAAGTTTGCACATGCATTGCATACAAAAAATTAGTTTTATAAATTCTGTGTACTTCCTAGTGATATCACTTAAAATGTAGTTTAAGAACATGACACATGGGGCTGGAGAGATGGCTCAGAGGTTAAGAACACTGGTTGTTCTCGCAGAAGACCCGGGTTCAACTCCTTCATAAGATGAGCCAAAGTGCTTTCTCAAATTCTCATTAGGTATTTGGTCATAGCAATGAGAAAAGTAGATGTGTAACACAAATACATAGTTGTTCTATTCTAGGCAAGAATAGGTGTAAAGAAAGGATGAATGTGGGCTAGAGAGATGATAGTTAAGATCACATACTACTCTGCACAGGACCCAAGTTTGATTCCTAGTACCCACATCCCACTTTTAACTCCAGCTCCAGGGGATCTGACACCTCTGGCCGCCTCAGGCACCTGCACTCATGTGCATATACACACTAGACTTACTTATTTTTTTTTTTTAGTGTGTATGCATGTATTTCCTGTGTGTAGGTAAGTGCACCCATGTCGTGCAATGCCCCAGAGGACAGAAGAGGCTGTCGGATCCCCTGGAACTGGAGTTACAGACAGTTGTTAGCTGCCATGTGGATGCTGGGATTTGAACCCGGGTCTTCTGCAAGAACAACCAGTGTTCTTAACCGATGAGCCATGTCTCCAGCCCCCCCACACACAATTTTTAAAAATAAAGCCTTTTTTTTAAATATATGCAAAAACTAGCCAAGTGTGCTGGCCCAGGCCTTTAATCCCAGCACCCAGAAAGCAGAGGCAAGTGGATCTCTGTGAGTTCAAGGCCAGCCTGGTGTACATAGCTAGTTCCAGGTCAGCTGGGGCTACAGGGACCAAAAAAATACATATATAGTGTATGCAAAAATTTATTCCATTAAAGTTGATTTGCATGGTTAATCTAGGCCAACTAGATTAATTGATTAAGCCTATGGCATATCCATGTGGTAGCATATAAGACACTAAAAATTGTTGAAGTGCACAAATGTCACATGGAAACATTACTGTGACTACATTTCTGTAAACTGAAAAAAAGAATTATCTGTAACCTCTGCTCTTGGGAGACAGAGGCAGGAGGATTTCAAGTTTAGGTTAGCTTGGACTAGCAGTGAAACCTTGTCTTACAAAATGATAAAAATTAGTAATTAAGGGGCTGGAGAGATGGCTCAATGGTTAAGAGCACTGACTGCTCTTGCAGAGGACCTGGGTTCAATTCCCAGCACCAACATGGTGTCTACAAACCATCCTTAACTCCAGTTCAAGGGGACTCTGAAGCCCTCTTCTGACCTCCACGGCATTGCACGACACAGGTGCACTCACATACATGCAGACAATGCATTCATATACATAAAATAAAAATAATATTTTTTAAAAAATTAGTAATTAAAATCCTTGTTGCCCGGTATGATGGCACACGCCTTTGATCCTAGCACTTGGGAGGCAAAGGCAAGTAGCTCTCTGAGATCAAGACCAGCCTGGCCTACATAGTAAGTTTCAGGCCAGTTGGATACAGGGAGACCCTGTCTCAAAACAAATAAGAAAACCCTTTTCCCTTTTGTTCAAAAGCCAAATTAAAGCTAGGGATGTAGCTCAGTGCTAGGGTGCTTGCCTCACACGTTCAAAGCCCAGATTTTATCCAGAGCACCACCATAAAATAAAGGCGAAAAATAGTCGGTGTGGCTATCAGTGGATTGTGAGATTTAAAAGCAATTTGTTTACTATAACCTCCTTAAGGAAAAGTACAAGAATTTCAAGATGCTAATAAATAGAAACTAATGAACACCTTTGTGCCCCAAGTTTATCAAATGTTAACATTTTTCTTTATTTGCTTCGGGTGGCCTTTCTAAATGAAATCAGTCCTTATCAAGCATGTGATAAATATCTATTTCTAGCTAATCAGGAGGTAGGAGTGGGAGGATCACTTGAGTGCTTGAGTTTGAGATCACTCTGGGCAACATAGTGAGGCCCCTGTAAGAATTTGGGGGTAGTTTTTGTTTATTTTTTAGACAGTCTGTCTAAATTAACCAGGTTGGCCTTGAACTCTGTAACCCAGCAGGCCTTTTAATTTATGATCTTTCTGCTTCAGCCTCCCAAACAGCTGAAATTACAGGCCTGTACTACCAGGCCTAGCCTATGTGAGTTTTTATTTTTATGCAGTATCAATCTTGTGATTGCCTCTACTACTTTAAGATTATAAACATGTAGCTTCTAGAGTGCTTTGAAGGTTTTGTCAAACTGACTCTTAACTATCTGAAATCTGATTTCTTGGATTATCAAAAGCTATAGCATAATTTATAAAAATATGTTCATTTGAGCTGGATGTGGTGGCACACGCCTTCAATCCCAGCACTCAGGAGGCAGAGGCAGGTGGATCTCTGTGAGTTCAAGGCCAGCTGGGACTACAGGGACACCCTGTCTCAAAAAGACAAAAAAAAAATGTTCATTTTGCACAAAATTTTCATTCCTACCTCTGTCTTGAATTGATTATTTTCTCCTTGATCTGGTTTTGGTTTTGTTTGCTACAGGGTCTCATATAGCCCAAGCTGACCACAAACTCCATTGAGTTAGTCTCACTCTTCCTACAGCCCAAGTAGAACTTTTACTTATTTTTATTTTATGTGTATGAGTGTTTGATCTGCATGTATGTAAGTGCACACGTGTCTTACAAAGCCTGCAGAGGCCAGAAGACGGTGGCTGATCCCCTGAACAGGAGTTATAGGCAGTTGTTAGATGCCATGTGGGTGCTGGGAATCGAACCCAGGTCCTCTGGAAGAGCAGCCAGTCCTCTTAACTGCTAAGCCATCTCTGCATCTCCCCAAATATAACTATTAATTTTCATCTTTTTTTTCTTTCCCATTGCAGTGGAGTAGAATTCTGTTCTTTTCATATTTCATATTTTGAAGTTTTTTTAGATACATACAAATTTAGGGCATGTATTATTCTTTGTATTCATGCTTTTTGTTCTAATTGATTTTTGTTAGCATTTGCTTGATGTGAACTTTTTTTTAAATCTTTTTGTTGTTTGTTATTTGTTTGTGAAACAGGATCTCGCTATGTAGCCTTGGCTGACGTAGATCTTATAAAGCTCCTCCTGCCTCCACCTCCCAAGTGCTGGGGTTAAAGGTGTATACCACCATGCCTGGCAACATTCTAATTGTTTTTAACTTTTTAAGCCTTTTTAGTTTCATTATTTAATTCACTTTCAGTATTTAATTTGCATATTTCATGACAACCCAACAGTTCAGGAAGTTATTTTCTTTTACTCCAAACAGTTATTTATAACTTGCCTTAGTTCAGGCAGTGAGTTGGTTCTTTCCCTCATTTTGGCTGTGTTGTTTTTATTCCACATTCTCTTGTAGAAGTCAAATGTTTGACTACCTTTGCTTACTTTTACACTGAAGCCCAGTTCAGCCCTGCATGCTACTGTGTTTTAGACTGGAAAGATCTTTTTATTCTTTCTTCTGCCAAGCGAAGTGTGTGTATCACAGTATGAACTTACACTGGAAAGTCTTTGGTAGCTTTCCTAATAACCTACCTGCTCTTGATTTTCCCCTTGTAGGGACTTATTGAAGGAGCAAAGGCTCAGGAAGAAGGCTGAGTTGGAATCTGCACAGTGCCGACTTCGACTTCAGGTCCTTACTGATGAATGCACTAAGCTTAGTAGCCATGTCCAGGTGAGTACTTCAACGAACTTTGAGAATCAGAATTGGAGCAGAGGGCAGTTTAAGAGGAATCTAAATGTTGCTGAGGTTTATTTCAAATGATTAAGGCATTTTCCCAAAACACACACTTTATGATGAATTCTATGAGTGCTCCAGACAATGCAACCATTAAAGACTTTTGTACTCCACTATATGATAATTCTGTGCTCTCTTTATTTCAGTTGCTTACTGAAATACTCTGAAAACAGTTCTTAAAGTTTCATGACAACATTTTCATGTAATGAACAAGAACTTTTTATTGGGTAAAGAAATCATTCTTGAGGTGACCATCAAATAAAAAGGTTTTCATTTATAAAGTCTTTTTCATTATAGGATTTGGAAACCCTTATTATGCAACATCGGGATCAAGTTATGCGGCATTGCAAGAGCTCCCAAGCACTTCGCAGGAAATGCTTACCCTCCAGCCAGAGCCAGCGTAAATACAACTTCCAAAAGACCTTCATAGTCTCTCAGACAGGAAACTGCCGAATCATGGCATACTCTGATGGTTTGAGCTGCCTGGTGGTATCACAGCCTTCTCCTCAGGCTTCCTTCCTTCCAGGTAAACAATTAGAACGTCAGTTTTCATGTTCATTATTAGACAGTACTCATTCATTTTCTTTTCTTTTTTTTTTTTTCTTTTTTTTTTTTTTTAATTTTGAGACAGGGTCTCCCTGTAGCCGCAGCTGGTCTGCCTGGATTTGCTATGGAGACCAGGCTGGCCTCTGCCTCCCAAATGCTGCCTCTGCCTCCCAAATGCTGGGATTAAAGGTGGGTACCAGCACGCCCAGCTCTGTAGGAATAACTTGTACAATATGGACATAATCTGGGCAAAAGACTAGAATCTAGAACTCAGTAATCATGAACACTGACAGCAGTCCATCATCTCAGTTTTTTCTGTCAGCTCCCTAGTTAATGCAAGTACTTCAGGGTGCTGCAGAGATGTCGTTCATAGCTGGGTTTACTGGCACACACCTGCAGTCCCACTTTCAGGAGGCTGCAGCAGAAGTATAAGGCTAGCTTGGCCTATAGAGTGAGACTCTGTCTCAACAACAGATAGAAACGTGTCTTTTAGCTACAAGCAGTACTCTAGTCACTGCGCAGCCCACTGCCTTCTTGTAAGGTACTAAACTATTCTTTTTAAAAAATCTATCTTTCTTGGGGCTGGAGAGATGGCTCAGTGGTTAAGAATACTGGTTGTTCTTACAGAAGACCCAGGTTCAAATCCCAGTACCCACATGGTAGCTAACAACTGTCTGTAACTCCAGTTCCAGGGGATCCAGTGGCCTCTTCTGTCCTCTGTGGGCATTGTATGACATGGGTGCACTTACATACATGCAGGCAATGCACTCATACGCATAAAATAAAAATAACAAATTTTTTTTCTTTTAAATCTGTCTTTCTTGACTTTTACCTTCATTCTATAAATTTGTTTACCAAGAGGGTAGAAATACTAATAATCATGTTAGTATGAGAAAGGAGGTACCGAGAAGTATGCTTGATTGCTATAATTCAAGAAGTACATCACTCCCTATATGTCTCATTTACCTAACAGATTCATTTATAAGGTTTTACAAAACTATCCCAGTGGCCAATTCACACTTTATAGAATGTAGTATTTTCAGTAGTATTCACACACCCTCTTCTAGATTCTGAGCATCCACACTCACATGTACATACCAACACATGGACACATAATGTAACAAAATTTTTTTTTTAAATGTTTGTGGGCTGTGCATGGTGGCACACGCCTTTAATCCCAGCACTCAGGAGGCAGAGGCAGGCAGATCTCTGTGAGTTCTAGACCAGATGGGGCTACAGGGAGACCCTGTCTCAAAGATCTCTCCCCCCCCCGCAAAAAAATGTGTGTGGGCTAGAGAGATGGTTTAGAGATTAAAAACCCATATTGCTCTTTCATGACCTGAGTTCAGTTCCCAGCAACCATATCGGCAGCTCACAAACACTTGTAACTCCAGCTCCAGGGATCCAATGCTTCTGGTCTCTGTGGGCACCTGTGCTTACATACACAGACATGTATAAACTGGAGAAGTGACTCAGCTATTAGGAATACTGGCTGCTTTTTGTAGAGGACCATCATGGTGGCTAAAACCATCCCTGACTCCAGTTTGAGAGAGTACAACTCAGTAGACATTACACTCATGTAGGCAAAACATGCACATAAAATAAAAATAGATAAATTTAGCCAGGCGTGGTAGCACACACCTTTAATTGCAGCACCAGGGAGGCAGAGGCAGGCCGATCTCTGTGAGTTCAAGGCCAGCCTGGTCTACATAGTGAGTTCCAGGCCCGCTGGGGCTACAGGGAGACCCTGCCTCAACCCTCTCCCCAAAAAACAAAAACAAACTTTCCTTTCTATGAGACTCTGACCTTTCCACCCCAGACTCTGGAATTGCAGGCTATATGTTGCCATGCTCAGCTGTTTGAACAACTTTTTTTATTATTCCATTTTATGAGTGTTTTGCTTCCATGTATGTAAGTGCACCTGTGTATGCAATGCCCATGGAGACCAGAGGGCTGTCAGATCCCTGGAACTGGAGCTAAGAATGGTTTTAAGCTACAATGTAGGTGCTGGGACCCAAACCCAGGTCCTTTGCAAGAGCAGCCAGTGCTCTCAATTGCTGAGCCACACCTTTCTCAACAACTTTATTGAAATTTGTCATAAATTAAATTGTACTTATTAAAAGTAGAATTTATTAGCTTTGATACTTTGAAACCATCAGTACAGTAAAGATATAATGAACTATACCTATCATAGAGTTTTCTTACCACCTTTATAATCCCTTCCACCTATCCTTCTATTCCCCCACAGGCCACCACTGATAACACTTTTTGTCACTGTTGGTTTGCATTTTCTAGTATTTTATATAAATGGCATCATATGGCATATGCCTTTTTTGTCTCACTTTCAAGCATTTTTTTTTAAATACTGATCCATATTTCTGTGTAAATTTGTTTTACTACTGGATAGTAGGTCTATGTATATACAGATTTGTTTATTCCTTGATCTGTTGGTGGATATTTGAAGTGGACTTTACTTTTTGTTTTTCTTGTTCCTTTGTTTGCTTGAGGCGAGATCTCCCTGTTGCCCCAGCTTGCCTGGAACTCAGTGACTAGTCTCCAACTCAGAAATCCACCTGCCTCTGAATCCTGAATAACAGGTGGTGGGCCATTACACCTGGCTTCTGATATGAAGTGTTTTAACTCTCTTCTTTTATAGGCTTTGGTGTTAAGATGTTGAGTACTGCCAACATGAAAAGTAGCCAGTACATTCCTATGCATGGTAAGCAGATTCGTGGATTGACTTTCAGCAGTTGGTCCAAAGGCTTGCTGCTCTCTGCTTCCCTAGACAACACTGTTAAACTGACCAGGTGAGTGAGTCAAGGACATTGGACCTGGGCTGCTCCACTGTGTATTGAATCAGTGTTCCTACTATGCCTTTAGTTAGTTCTCTTAACTGGTCTGAGTCATTGTCTCTTTTTTAAAAGTGTATATAAGCCAGGGATGCTGGTACAGTGCCTTTAATCTCAGCACTCAGGAGGCAGAGGCAGGCAGGTATCAGTGACATCAAAACCATTCTGGTCTACATAGCAAGTACCAGACAGCTGGTATAAAACAAACAAAAGACAGAGAGAAATACTCTGTAGATTTTGGAATGACAGTATGGAAGCATACCCCAAAATTGTCATGACAGCTTAGAACTGCTTATTCCAAGTCTATTGCCTGGATTAGTACTATAAACCAGACTGAATGTGATCCATGCTTTTTAGAACTGACTTCCTACTAAATTTCTGCTTTAAAATAGAGACATTCTAGCTGGGTGTGGTGGCACCTGCCTTAAGTCCCAGCACTCGGGAGGCAGAGGCTGGTGACTCTTTGGGAGATCAAGGCAAGCTGGGGGTATAGGGAGGCCCTGTCTCAAAAAGACCAAAAGTACGGGGGGACATATCCTGAAGTGCTATCAGGCCTGAGAAGCCTTTTGACTCTCGGAAAAATTCTTCAGAATGTCGGGTGTGGTGGCACCTGCCTTTAATCCTAGCACTTGGGAGGAAGAGGCAGGCAGATCTTTGGGAAGCCAGCCTGGTCTACAAAAGTGAGGTTCCAGGCCAGCTTGGGCTATAGGGAGACCCTGCAAAAAAAAAAAAATGCTTCAGAGGGCCTGGAGAGATGGGGCTCAACAGTTAAGAGCACTGGCTGCTCTTGCAGATAACCTGGGTTTGAATCCCAGCACCCACAAGGTAGCTAACAGCTGTCTATAACTCCAGTTCCAAGGGAATCTGATGCCCTCTTCTGACCTCCATGGGCATTGAACATGGGTGCATTCACATGCGTGTAAGCAATACACATACACATAAAATAAAATAAAAAATTTTTTAATAACATGATTGGAAGAAGCATTTCATTACAGCTTTAACATATTCAGTAACAATTTCCAGAACAAGGATACATCTCTTCCAAAAGTGGCTGTAAATTTTTAGGTTCACAGTTGAATTAATACATTATACAATATTGAACTCACTATAAACTCTGTAACACATAAAACTGAATGAGTTTTTAGCCTTTCAAGAAGATCTCCATTTCATTTTAAAATATGCTGTTTCCTACATTTTTAAAAATATTTTATTATTTTATGTATATTTGTATATTGTCTGCATGTACGTGAGTGCACCCGTGTCGAGCAATGCTGCAGAGGTTAGGAGAGGGCTTCAAATTCCCATGGAACTGGGGTTAAAGAACAGTTCATAGTCACCAAGTGGGTGCTGGGAATTGAACCCAGGTCCTCTGCAAGAGCAGTCAGTGCGCTTAACTGTCGAGCCATCTCTTCAGCCCCCTGTTGCCTACATTGTTAATGCTACTAATGCTTAGATGTTTGCACATGTGTCTTTAATCTCTGTGTATCTGATTATTACTAGTCACAGTCAGTTACACTTGGCTCCTTGGCACCTGAGTATGGATATAAAGTCATCAGGTAGATTTCACTGGTAATGTTTATCACCTCTACTAATTAACATGAAGTAAATTTTTATGCTTCCTCCTCAATACGTTTTTTTTAAATTTGTTTTTTTTTGTATGTATATCATACAGAACATCCCACACAATCTTATTCATCTATATACCCACTTCCCAAATGGCACCGCCCCGTAGCCTCCCTAAAATTTTAAGACTGCATTTCATGGCAGGCCTAGAGAGGTGGCTCAAGTTAAGAGCACTCAGTCCTCTTGCAGACGACACAGTTTGGGTTCCAGCACCCTTGGTGGCACAGGCTTTTAATCCCAGCACTCTGGAGGCAGTCAGGCAGATATCTCTGCATTCAGGGCCAACAAGAGCTACATAGTGAATCTCTGTCTCAAAAAGAAAAAGAGACAGGAAGAACTAGAGATAGCTCAGTGATAGAGTGCTTGCCTAGCATTAGTAGGCTCTGGGTTCATCTCCAGCACTCCAAAAATTGTGAGGAGCAGATGTTACAAAGTGGTGTTAATGGGCTAAAGAGGTGGTTCCCTGGGAGCTCTCACTGCTCTTGCAGAGGACCCAGGTTCGGTTCCTAGCACCTACATGATGGCTAACAATTATCTGTAACTCCAGCTCCAGGGTAGTGGGGATAGGAGGGATGAGAACAGGACCTAAAATGCCTGGCTTCCATAGGCTTAATTTGTTTTGCGGGGGGGTTTTTGTGGTGTTTTTTGTCTTTTTGAGACAGGGTCTCCCTGTAGCCCCGGCTGTCCTGGAATTCACTATGTAAACCAGGCTGGCCTTGAACTCACAGAGATCCACCTGCCTCTGCCTCCCAAGTGCTGGGACTACAGGCATGCACCACCACGCCTGGCTCATGGGCTTAATTTAAAAATAAAAGATTAAAATTATATATACGTGTGTGTGTGTGTGTGTGTGTAACCAGACTTGGTGGTGCACACCTTTAATCCCAGCACTAGAGAGGCAGAGGTAGTTGATCTCTGGGATCAAGGTCAGCCTGGTCTATATAGGGAGTTCTAAGCTAGCTGAGGCTTCAAGGAAACTCTGTCTCAAGGTAAAACAAAAAACCCGAAGTGTTAATAATGGCTACCGCTGGATGATTGGATTATAATTTAATCTTGCATTTCCTTATATGTTTCTTGTTTTCCTGTATTGCCAACTGCCTTTGTGGTAGTTAACTGTGGAGGAGACTAGGGAATATATCTTGTATGTGTTTTAACTTACTCGTTTACTTCATTATAGCTCAAGAATAAACCTGCAGGCCCCAAAACAGGAGTGTTTTGGGTTTGAGAACTGTGAAATTTCTAGAGGAAACTTGAAATCCTGATAGTTTGGGTTTGTAGATACGTTCTCAGTAAGGATTACTAATTTTTTTTTTTTTTTGTCTTTTTTTGAGACAGGGTCTCCTTGTAGCCCCAGCTGTCCTGGGACTCACTGTGTAGACCAGGCTGGCCTCAAACTCAAGATCCGCCTGCCTCTGCCTCCCAAGTGTTGGGATTAAAGGCGTGTGCCACCACGCCCAGCAGGATTACTGATTTTTAAATAGTAATATTTGTCTCTGTCATGTATTTGTTTTTCCACAGTCTAGAAACAAATACTGTGGTTCAGACTTACAATACTGGACGTCCTGTCTGGAGCTGTTGCTGGTGTCTTGATGAAAACAATTACATCTATGCTGGACTGGCTAATGGTTCAATTCTGATATATGACCTGCGAAACACAAGTGCTTATGTACAGGAGTTAGTGCCTCAGAAAGCCAGGTATGGAGCAACTCATGTTTTCATGTTGGTAACAGCTTTCTTTTAGATTTGCTATATTAATTCTCCCCTCAGAGTGTATCCACAATTGGGACTCATTTTTGCAGAAGTTAGTTCTCTAAGATCTGATGCTGTCTCACTTCAGAATTAATAGAATTTGTATTCACGATATTTCACATGGTAGCAAAGCTGTGGTATCATATATAGCCAGGTTCATAGTCAGAGATCATCCAACATGGCAAAAATAGTCATCTTTGCTCATAACCCAGCTATCCTACATATTTTCTATTGCTTAATGCTATGCTAAAATAGTATGCCCAAAGACCACTTAGGGGAGGTCCAAAGAGTTTGATTTCATCTTAGAAATCCCAGATCACAGTCCAACATCTGGGGAATTCAGTGCAGGAACTTGAGGCAAGAAGCTGGAAGCAGGAGCTAAAGCAGAGGCACAGAGGACATGCTCACTGGCTTGTTTCTCTGGCCTGTGTTTAGCCTGTTTTCTATTTATTTATTTATTTATTTTTTGGTCTTTTTGAGACAGGGTCTCCATGTAGACCAGGCTGGCCTTGAACTCACAGAGATCCCGCCTGCCTCTGCCTCCCAAGTGTTGGGATTAAAGGCATGCACCACCATTCCCGGGTTAATTTATTTTTATATATGTATTATCTGCATGTGTATAAGTACTCCTGTGTCATGTAGTGCCCTCAAAGGTCAGAAGACAGCATCAAGTCCCCTAGAACTGGAATTAGGGACAGTTGTTGGCTGCCATGTGGGTGCTAGGACTCAAACCTGGATCCTCTGCAACAACAGTGCTCTTAACTGCTGAGCCATCTCTCTAGCCCTAACCTGCTTTCTAATACAACCTAGGACCACTTGCCCAGGGGCAGTTAAGTTTCTTGGCCTGTTAAATACAATTAATACGGACTTGTTTTAATAGCTACGTAGCTAGCAAACAAACGAGATGAATAATGGAAACCTTAACATGAAATTATTTAACTTAATCCAAAGTTTTGTTTATGTTTTGGTGGTGATGTAGATTGAACTCAGGGCCTTGGGCATACAAGTCAAGCATTCTACCACTGAGCTATATCCCCAGCTCCTAACTTAATCCAAAACTAAAACGACTTAGTCCTATACTGTACTCCTGTTATTTAATATCCAGCTATGGAATAGGGAAGTTTGTAAAGTCCACTCCAGTTCTAAGGGTGAATGGCCACCGGCAGCACTGGCTCCCTTTTAAGAATGCAGTGAGTACCATGTGGACTATCTAGAAATGTGTAAAGATCTCAGAAGGGAAGAGGTCTGTGACCTGGCCAAAATTAAAAGTATCTTAAGAAAAAATTCTCATTTACAGTTTCAGAATGTATTAAAGGGAAAAGGATGCTCTACACATCTGTATGTCACTAATAAGTTTTCACGAAAGCCTAGGCTCAGCACTCTTGGTTTGTTTTTTTCCTTTTGGATGGGTCATGGAATTATGCTTTAATTGTCCACAAGCCTGAAGATGATTGACATGACATTGTGACACGGAAAGTGAAATAAAAGTAGGGCTAGTGAGGTGGCTCAGAGAGTAAAGCCACTTGCCTTAAGCTTGGCAACTTGAGTTCAATCTCTGGAACCCATGTAAAAGTGTAAGGATAGAACTAACTTCCACAGAGTTGTCCTCTAGCCTCTACATTTGGGCTATAGCACACATGTGCTCTCCCGTACACTACCCCACCCCCTACGTGCACACACACACTTTTGTTGCTGTTGTTGTTGTTGTTGTTGTTGTTGTTGTTGTTGTTGAAACAGGGTCCCCCGTGCTGGGATTTAAAGGCTTGTGCTACCCCTCCTGGCTTACAACAATTTTTTTTTTTTTTTTTTTTTTTTAATTTTAGGGTATGAGTGTATTGCCTACATGTAAGTGCACCCATGTCATGTAGTGCCCTCAGAAGTCAGAAGAAGGCGTCGAATTCCCTCGAACTGGAGTGATGGACAGTTGTTAGCCACCATGTGGGTACTGAGAATCGAACCTGGGTCCTCTGCAAGAGCAGTCAGTGCTCTTAACCACTGAGCCATCTATCAGTCAGTGTATGTCTTCTCTATCCCTAGAGAGATGGCTGTTAGTTTTTAGAGGATGTGGAAGATATTTACTGTGTTTACTCTTCTGAAGAGATGAGAATGTGGTCCAGGTCTCCTGATAGTGAGCTTCAGAGCAGCCCAAGTGTTGATTTGGAATGTACAGCAGTATCCTTTCTTTACCTACAGATGTCCCCTGGTATCCCTGTCATATATACCCAGAGCTGCCTTGGCTGCATTTCCTTATGGTGGGGTGCTGGCTGGAACCTTGGAGAATGCCTCCTTTTGGGAGCTGAAAACAGACTTAAGTCATTCACCCCATGTGCTACCCTTGGAGCCAGGTGGCTTTATAGACTTTCAGACAGAGAGCAGCACTCGACACTGTCTTGTGACTTACAGGCCTGGTAAGTGCTGAAGTCCTGGGGGACCTGCTACTTGGGAGAGTAGGGGGAATTATTGTAGAGGGGAGAGGAGAATTTGACCTCCCATTTGGGTGGCTCTAGTAAGCCCCTCAGAGGCTAATTAGGCTGTGTTCCAACTCTTGCTACTACAGTGAAGATGATGGCTCCCATTTCCTCCATTGAGCCTCTCTCTCTGCCCTATATTTAACAACTGAAACAAATTCTGCCATATACTTTTGGAAGTGAATTAGCTACTCTAGGATTCTCTGTATCTAAAAACAGTAATAGAATAACCAGGGCCTATTCACCCTCATATCACTTTCATATCTTTTCATCTGTCCCTCATTTCACCTGTCCATGAAAAAGACCCATATGAAAGTAGCCCAGTATGGGCCTAGTGTGGTGGTACACCTTTACACTTTAATCCCAGCAGAGCCATGAGTTCCAGGTTTCCATGAGTTCTAGGCCAGTCAGGGCTACATAGCAATACCCTGTCTCAAACAAAAATTCCCCAGGAGGTCTCATAGGATACAGTGATTTTACAAAACAAATAGTGCATTTTCAGAGTTGTTTCTCTGAAGGGAAAACCTATTATAGATAACTTCCTTCATCCTAGCCTAGGATTCTAAATTTCATTGGTGCTTTGTTAACTGTGTTTGCTTTATAGTTACTGTGGTTTAATGTATTTACCTTTTCTAACTAAGTACACTGTCTGAGTTTCCAGTACTTAATTTCTTTTGTATTGTACCATCTCCATGCACTGACTTTTTTTTTTTTTCTCTAATAGATAAAAACCATAGTACCATGCGAAGTGTGCTATTAGAGATGTCCTACAAAATGGATGATTCAGGAGAGCCAGTCTGTTACTGCAATCCTGTGCAAACATTCTTTGGAGGACCTAGTTGCAAACTATTGACCAAGAGTGCCATTTTTCAAAGCCCAGAGAATGATGGCAAGATTTTAGTGTGCACTGGGGATGAAGCATCAAAGTCAGCCTTGGTGAGCCTATTATTTTTATTTTGTGTTCTTTAAAAAAATAGTTTGCTGGGCATGATGGCGCACGCCTTTAATCCCAGCACTTGAGAGGCAGAGGCAGGCGGATCTCTGTGTTTGCGAGGCCAGCCTGGTCTACATAGCGAGTTCCAGATCAGCTGGGGCTACAGGGAGACCCTGTCTCAAAAGGACAAAAAAAACAAACAAACAAACAAAAAGGTTTGTTGGCTAAAAGTCAAAATGTCCTTGGGCCTCTTAGCAACATACTCTGTTCCAGAGCTCTTATCTAATCCCTAAAAGATTTTAGGGTTACCACTTGGTCGGGGGGTGGGTAGAGTAAGGAAAAGTCCCCCCCCCAAAAAAAAATACACAAAATTGTCAGGAAAGTGATGAGGAGATATAGAAGGAGTTGGAGATGAGGGAGTGGGCATGCATTTGATCAAAACACCTTATATGTATGTATGAAATTCTCTTTTTTTTTTTTTTGTCTTTTTGAGACAGGGTCTCCTTGTAGCCCTAGCTGGCCTGGAACGCCCCATGTAGACCAGGCTGGCCTTGAACTCACAGAGATCTACCTGCCTCTGCCTCCCAAGTGTTGAGATTAAAGGTGTGTGCCACCACACTGGGCCAATAAATTATTTTTTTAAGTGGATGACTCCTGAGGTGAAACATAAGTTTCTCCTCTTGCCTCTATACACACATGTACATATAATATCTACACATAAATAATACTAAATTTTATTACCAGGCCGATGGGTATAGCTCAGTGGCAGAATTTTGCCTGGCATCTATGAGGCCCTGGATTTGATCACAGCACTGCAGAAAAAAGGTGGGGGGTGGCTGGAGAGATGTCTTAACAGTTAAGAGCACTGGCTATTCTCACCAAGGACCTGGGTTTGGTTCCCAGCACCCACATGGCAGCTAACAGTCATCTGTATCTCCATTCCCAGGCAATCTGACCTCTGCAGGCATCGACTTACATAGGTGTGCTTTAAGCAGGCAAAACACACACATAAAGTAAAATTTTTTTAGTGCCAGGCATGGTGGCACATGCCTTTAACCCCAGCACTCAGGAAGCAGAGGCAGGTGGATCTCTGTAAGTTCAAGGCCAGCTGGAGCTACAGGGAAACCTCGTCTCAAAAACACCAAAAAAAGATGGATAGCAGGCCCAGAGAAATGGTTCAGTATGTGAGAATGCAAACTTGCTATGAGGCTGGGGATGGTAGCATACACCTTTAATCCCAGCATTTTGGAGGCAGAGGTAGACCAGTGGGTCGGCCATCTTGGTCTACATAGTGAGTTCCACAGCTCTCTGTAACTCAGCTTGCTTTTCAGGCCGACTTACACGTGTGTTGGCTTAATACAGTGTTAAGATTACTAACTACTAACCTCTGTCTCTGCTTGTTTTTTAAGTTGTGGAATGCTGACAGTGGCACATTGCTCCAGAACCTGATGACTGATCAGCCCATCTTGGACATCTGCCCATTTGAAGTGAACCAGAACAGCTATTTGGCCACCTTAACTGAGAAGACTGTCCATATTTATAAATGGGAGTAACTATGGTATTGAGACCTTTCAGACATTCTGCTGGTTAATGTTAAGTGTTGTTTTCCTGCACTTAGCAACCCTGAGCAAGATCCTGTTTTTTACCTATAGGCTGGAGTTGGATCATGGTTCATCTGAATTAGTGTAATTCTAGGACGCTAGGTCACTGAAACACTACAGATTGTATATCTGCTATGCCCATCAAAAGAATGCCTTTGTGAATCTTGCCTTGGAAATCTTAAGTTCTGCAGAATCTTACAGCCCTCTCCACCATCACTTAGGATATGAGGATCCAGCAAGCATTTGAGGGGCTGTGATAGCCAACCAGTCTTGTTGGTTGGGCAGATTGATTTGAAAGTGATACATGAAGGCTTATCTGGCTTGGACACAACAAGCATGTGGAAGAGTCTTCCATTGAACACATGAGGGCACTGTAATACCTTATGTAGAGTTCATCTTCTGGGCTTGAGTGCTTAAAACGTTTTGATGTCTGTGTTTCTGTCTCTGTCTCCCCTCTCCTTCTCCCCCTTTGTCCCCCCTCACACACTTGCATGCACACATACCCCAGGTGTCTGGTAGTGTGCATGTGGTATCTTGTGGCAACAACAGTTGTTTCAGGTGTACATGCTAGAATGTGGGCAAGTCTAGTGGTGCAAGTGACTGATAAGCTAGCTATTTGTAGAGCAGTAGGAAATGCTGAGTGTATCAATCAAGTTCAGTGCATTGTGAGAGCTAAGGAAAAAGACCAGTTGTTTGAGCAATAGGGAAAGACTGATTTTGTGTGTGTGTGTGTTTGTTTGGAGACAGGGTGTCAACTATGCAGCACTCCCTGGCTTCCCCAAGTACAAATGTTTGATTCCAAGTTCCTATGATTTACCTCCTTAATTTTTCTGAAAGTATTATGAGTAAAGTGGTTATTCTTGGGAAGGTAGTGGTTGGAGACCTTTGGATGACAGGGAGACACTTACAAACTTCCATTCCAGTCCTGAATTATCCAACATTTGAAGGTGTGTTTCTCAATAAAGGGCTCAAGTTGTATTTGTCTACTTAGCCATAGGCCACTCCACTAACCCACAGCCCACAGTAGGATGTCTCAAGGTGTAGACAGCATGACTGTTTGTTTTCAAATGTCGACAAATTTTTGGCCTTTTTATAAAACTTCTCTTCTGGCCTACCAAACTCTTGAGTTGTTTCTGGAATCTTCTTATGTGCAAAGAATTGTTAACGTAAATTTCCACAAGAGTTCCAAGTTATAGCTGTTCTTTTTATTGGAACCTTCTATTTGAAGATTTTAAGAATGATTTCAAGCTTAGCATAGTAACACACACCTTTAATTCCAGCATTTGGGAGACAGAGGCAGATGGATCCCTGTGAGTTTGAGGCCAACTTGATCTACATAGGGAGTCCTAGGACAGCCAGGGCTACATTGTGGGCAGTAGCAGCAGGGGTGGGGGTAGCTTTCAAAATGCCAGCTTCCACAGCATGAGGAAAAGCACTTTTTTCCAGAAGAGGTTCTTTTGATAATTTGGTGATTGAGGGTAGCTGCCCAGACCAGTAGCCTGTAGTTTCTGTAGCAGAATGGGATTTAAAGTAAGAAGACAAAGCTCATGTAACATGAGATAGCCACTGAGAGAATGAGGGTGTCAGGTTGGGGTAGGGCAGGGTTAGGATTTGACTTGCCTTGAAGAGCATTTAAATAAGGCAGATTGATTCTCCCAAGAGTAGGAGTAAGGGGACTTGCAGCCGACCACAGAAGGTGGGTGAGTAGCAAGTCTCTCCAGTTCTTTCATGTCTACAATAACTTTGGGTTGGAAGGAAGAGGCACCAGGATTGGAATCAAACCCAGAGCCTTGCACATGCTGTTTGCTCTATCACTGAGCTACATTCACAGCTTAAATATGTACATTTAGGAAGCAGATTCACATGATGGGCTGATTTCTATAAAGAAAAACTTGCTTTAGTCCCTACCCCCACCCTACCTGTAAGAAATTTCATCTGCATACCCAGGTTCTAGTCTTCTGAGCAGCAGCAAGGTCTGGTTTTTAAAAACTTCATTGTACATATCCTTGGACCTACTTTTAAAATAGGGTGATGGGATTTCTAAATAATTGTAGTATTTCAGTGTTCATTTTAATGTTAATAAAGAATTTGCCATGTGTAACAGCAGCCCCTGATGTCTTATGTTTCTGTCTCCTACAAGCAGGAATATGCCTGCATCTTGGGAAGAGGGGTATAATCCTACCCCGGTAGATTTTCCATTTCATACAGTACTGGATCTGAGTTAAAACAGGATGGTTCCTAGAGCTGAAGTAAACATTTATTTTACTGTATTATACTGTCTTTTTTAGTCTCCTATCTCATGTAGCCCAGACTAGACTTGAACTCTGTTTAGGCATGGAACGCTGGCCTTGCACTGGGATTCTAGTCCTGCACCACTGCCCAGCATAGATAACTATTTTTTTTTATTTTTATTTCTATTTTATGTGTATGAATGTTATGCCTGCATGTAGGTAAAGTGCACCAGTGTCATGCAATGCCCACGGAGGACAGAAGAGGCTGTCGGATCCCCTGGAACTGGAGTTATGGACAGTTGTTAGCTGCCATGGGGGTGTTGGGATTGGAACCCGGATCTTCTGCAAGAACAGTCAGTGTTCTTAACTGCTGAGCCATCTCTCCAGCCCCACAAATAACAATTTATGAGTATGATGAGACTCTAGCTGGTGATCCTTTTTTGCTGTTGCTAATGGTAATCTGCATTTGCCCCCTGAATCAGCCAGGTGTGGCAGCACATTCCTGTAACCCCAGCACTTGGTTGAGAAGCTGAAGCAGGAAGATCACAAGTTCCAGGCCAGACTGGCCAGTGAGAGATTTCAAAATCTTTTATTTGCTGGCATCCTGGTACTCCTTTAAATTGAGACTACATATGGGAGAAAGAAAGAAGGAAAGAATTGATTTATTCATTGCCAGGTCTTCTAACGGGTGTCAGCAGTCAACAAATACAGTGAGCTCTCAGGTTCCTCCTATGCAGCTTAGTATGGTTTACCAACATGCATTATGTTTTCAGAGTCCTTTTTTTTAAGGTCCCTTTTTTTTTTTTTTTTTTTTTTGGTCTTTTTGACCCTTTAGCCCCAGCTGGCCTGGAGCTCATTATGTAAGATCAGGCTGGCCTTGAACTCAGAAATCCACCAGGCTCTGCCTCCTGAGTGCTGGCATTAAAGGTGTGCAATGCCATGCCCAGTTTACGGTTTTAATTTTTTTTTAATATTTTGTTTCATTGTTTTTATGTGTATGTGTGTATTGCCTGAATGTATGTAAGTGCACCCGTGTTACAAAATGCCCACGGAGGTCAGAAGAGGGCATTAGATTCCTCTGGAGATGGAGTTATAGATGGTTGTTAACCACTATGTGGGTGCTGGGAGAGCAAGAGCAGCCTGTGCTCTTAACCACTGAGCCATCTCTCCAGCCTACGGCTACATGTTTTTAGCAGGACACAAGACAGTCCTTGCCAGTCAAGTATGATGAGGAGCAACTACAGATGAGTGATGATCAGGAAGTGATAACCATTCCAGGGGTTATCTTTGTTCTTTTCCCTTATATTTCTTTTTCATTAATCCTACATCTCTTGAGTAGGTACCGCCTAGTCATCCAAGGAGGAAATATAGGAACTGCACTTGGCCTCCTCCTCCATCATCCAACTATCATTTAAAGGTCCTACAGAGTCTGTCCTAATGCTTTTTTCTTTTTTCTTTTTTTTTTTTTTTTATGGTCTTTTTAAGACAGGGTCTCCCTATAGCCGCAGATGGCCTTGAACTCAGAGATCCGCCTGCCTCTGACTCCCAAGTGCTGGGATTAAAGACGTGCACCAGCATGCCCGGCCTAATGCTTTTTTTAAAATAATTTATTGAGAATTTCATGCATGAGCATATAAGGTGCTTTGATTAAATCCATGCCCACTCCCTCCTCTCCAACTCCTCCCATATCTCCCCATCACTTTTTTCTGATAACTTCATGTGCTCCTTTTTTTGTTTTTGTTTTTTTTAAGTGGGGCTTTCTGCTCCACTAACATTCCCCCCTCTGAAGCAGTAACTCTAAAGTCTTTTAAGGATTAGATAAATGCTCCCAAATACTTTTGACATTTGGAACGGATTATGTTGCTAAGAGGCCCAAGGACATTGTGACTTTTAGCCAAGAAACTGGCTATTTTTCTTTGGGGTCTTTTTACTCTAACTGCATAGCCAATTCCTACTTCCTATTTTTTTAATATTTATTATTTTTATTTTATGTGTATAAGTGTATTGCCTGCATGTAGCCACTCACTATGTGGGTGCTGGGAATCGAACCCAGGTCCTCTGCAAGAGCAGTCAGTGCTCTTAACCACTAAGCCATCTCTCCAGCCCCTAAATCAATTTATTTTTACAGTTAAGGACATTTGAGGATCTGTTCCTCGGGGATCACATGGGCTTGGGAGGAGGCCCTGGCTTCTTTCTTTTACCAATTCCATCTATATGAAGATAAGTCAAAGGTCCTACTCGACCATAGCTGTCTTCTCTTGGAAGCATGGAGGAGATGTTTCCTCTGAGTTGACCCTCTTTGTAGACTGGACACTGGTTCAAGTACATCTCATGGGGTCTCCATGGCCTTCCTGAACAAGAGGACAGGTGACTCACCACAGTTACAGAACATTTTGAGAGATGTTCCATAGTCCCCTGGAACTTAGTAAACCTTGGAGGCCAAGGGGCAAAAACTGTCCTTTAAGTCCCTCTGACCAGATCAGTATCAGCCTCAAAGTATGGCTGTTAAACATACAATAAGGTTAGTTCCACCAGTCTGGTACTTTTAATTACCATGTACTATGTAGATAAAGCTTGGGTTAAAAAACAAATGTTCTCAGATAAACCTTGGCTGGATATGTATTTTATTCCTTAAACTAGACTAAACTATGGCCTTGGAAAATTTAAGATTATATTACTTTTGTGTCATCCTTTATGTATCATAACAAACCTACACAGACCTTCATCACTTGCTTATAAGGTTTTAATTTTTTTAATATTTTATTTTATTTATTTATTTTTATTTTATTTTATTTTTTGGTCTTTTTGAGACAGGGTCTCCCTGTAGCCCCAGCTGTCCTGGAACTCACTATGTAGACCAGGCTGGCCTTGAACTCACAGGGATCCACCTGCCTCTGCCTCTCTAGTGCTGGGATTAAAGGCATGTGCCACCACGCCGGCTATTATTTTTATTTTATGTCTGTATTGCCTGCATGTATTCGAGTGCACCGGTGTCATGCATTGCCACAGAGGTCAGAAGAGCGCTTTGGATTCCCCTGGAACTGGAGTTAAGGACAGTTCATAGCTGCCATGTGGGTGCTGAGAATCGAACCCTGGTCCTCTGCAAGAGCAGTCAGTGCTCTTAACCACTGAGCCATCTCTTCAGCCCCAAGGTTTTAATTTTTAAAAACTATGTATATGAGTGTTTTGCCTGCATGTATGTAAGTGCACCTGTGTCATGC